CCGTGCTAGGGCCCCTGCTGTGGATAATCGCATACGACCTGGTCCTCAGGACCATTCTCCCTGAAGGATGCTGGCTCTCGGGATACACAGATGACGTATACCTGGGGGTCAGCGGGGACGGGTGGCAGGAAGTGATCAGACTGGCTACGGTGGCAGCGGCACAAGTGGTGCGCTCGATCGAGAGGCTGGGCCTGGAGGTGGCCCCGCAGAGGACGCAAGTCACAGCGTTCTTCGATAAAAAGCAGGGCCAGCCTCCTCCTCCGGCTGGGCTCAGCCTTTGAATCAAAGAAGTAGACATCCCGATCACTCCAGAAATGAAGTACTTGGGACTTTGGGTAGACGGTGGACTTACCTTCAGCAGGCACGTCACCCGTGTGACACAAAGAGCCACACTGGTGGTAAATAATCTGTCAAAGTTGCTGCCTAACTTCGGCGGGGCAAGAGGGCGTGCCCGTCGCCTCTACGTGGCAATGGTCCATGCCGTAATGCTCTACGGCGCGCCAATCTGGTGGAAAAAGGTGGGCGAATCCCGCGCCCTCAGAAACAAGCTGTTGGGAGTACAGCGGATAATTGTCACCAGAGCGGCAAGGGCGTATCGGACCCTCGCTGGGATACCCCCGGCGCATCTACTGACCAGATTGTACGCCAAGGTGTACGAAGGAACGTGCCTAGCCAGGCAACGGCTGGGGGTAGTCACCCCGGCAATTAGGAGGGAGCTGAAGGTGAACGCAAGGGCGACCCTTCTCCAGCGCTGGAAGGAGTGGACCTCCCAGCAAAAATTCGGGAGAAGAGTCATTGACGCCATCTACCCGGTGTTCGAGAAGTGGATGGAGGTTGAGAAGAGGATGAGACTCGCCTTCCACGCCGTGCAGGTACTAACAGGCCATGAATGTTTTGGCAAGTACCTGCACGGTATCGGGAAAGAGCGCACCACGTGCTGCCACCACTGTCCGGAGGGGGCGGACACGGCGCAGCACACGCTGGAATTCTGTCCAGCGTGGGCAGAAGAGCGCCGTGCCCTCCGGACCGAAGTGGGAGAGGATCTCTCCTTGCCAGCAATTGTTGCGGCAACGGCTGGCATGGGGAAAGCGAGCCAGGGCAGATGGAGGGCGTTCGTCTCTTTCTACGACGCGGTGATGTCGCAGAAGGAGGCTGACGAAAGGATGAGGGAGGACAGAAGAGCCGCCTCCCTCTCCTCATCAAACAGCGAGGACGGACGACCAACCCTTTCTCCCCAGGTTCCGGGGGGCAACGTTATCCACGCCGCTCCGCCTGCTCCCCCGCCCCCGTTAGGGGGACAGCGCGGACGACGCAGAAAACGAGGAAGAAGCTGACCCGTCCCCTCTCTTCATGTCCCGGGAGACGGAGGAAGCGGAGAGTCATAAAGATCCCGCAGTGAAGACGACAGCGGAATAACCGGGCATTTCCGTGCGGGGATGCGTCAGTACAAGGACGAAGGGGTGGAGCATGGCCGTTCAACGATCGCTCTCCCCTTCGCCCCCGGGAGGTGCCGATTTATCGGTGGATCGAACGAGGAGGGGCCTGGCGCGGGGGGGAGGGGGCTCGGGAGGATTCCCCTCAGGGGGTTCTTCACTTGTGCCTCTCTCTCCGTCACGCGAGGGCAGGGGGCCGCGTCCTGGGGACCGAATTTGCGCGGGTTTCCCGTGCGGGTCGTGCTTCGGGGGGGGGGCTCCGGCCGGCCCCCGGGGGGGGGCGCGGGGGGGGGAAGAACAAGGGTCACCCTGCGTCCTTTCCTCCTCGTCCGGGGGGCGGGCGAGCGATCGGGAAATGTCGCTTGTCCGTTGCTTAAGAAACAACCCCGGTGGAAGGGGGGGTGACGAGTGATACGGTAACTATCACTCGTCACTTATTAGGACATCTCGCCAACCGCAGCGAGGTACAAGGGGGCCCATGGAAGGATCATTGCGTTTCCCGGGGCCCCCTCTCAAAGTACGGCGTTTGGGTCACTCGTGGTGGTTTTAGCCGGTAGGCTGCGGAGTAACGGCGGGATTCCTTACGGAGTCTTTGCTCTCCGCAGAATCCGGCACTACCCTGTACCCACCCCGGGGGCAGGGTGTCTTCCCCTCCTCGGAGGGGCTACTGCTTCAAACCCCGGTGAAGCGGAGGCGCTCCCCGATCAAAAGCTTCGTTCTGGTAACTGGTTGCCTCCGCGGATCCGCGGGGATTCCAGTAGATTTCCACCACGTAAAAAAAAAGAGGTAGAATCTTAGATAGGGCACACCCGGGCGACGTGTCGCAACGAGGCGGACCACACCGGGGCGTGTTATCGCTGCGGAAACACGGGCCATTCGGCCCGTGACTGTCAAGCCCCGGTCTCCTGCGCAGTGTGCGAAAACAAGGGATTGCCCCACGAGCATCGTGTTGGGGGACCCGCGTGCAGGGGAAGGAAAAGGGGAGGAAAACAGCGAGGAAACCCGCTGAGAAACCTGCCAAGAAAGCTCTGGCGGCTAAGGGCAATACAAAGCCTAAGCCAAAAAAGGTGAGCGATATCAAAGTATCGGGTTGGGAGGTCACACAGGGGGGCAAAATAATAGCCGGGGTTCCAACGGAGGTCCCTAAGGAACAGAGACCCCCCCCCGAGCTAAAAAAGGAGGAAGGGTGGATCCCCAGAAGCCCGTAACGGCGGACGTTACGGAAATGGAGACGGATTCCCAACCTGACGAAGAAGCGAACAAGGGGAGCGAGAAGATCTCTCCGATGGAGACAGAGGTCACAGAGGGAGCGGGAACGGGGGATAATCTCCCTCCGCCGAACGACAACAATGAGAAAGGAGTGAAGAACTCCGTGGGTCGCCTATAATGGCTCTACGGATCCTCCAAACCAACCACGCCCGCGCGGCTCAGGACTTATTCTGTCAGGCCCTGACAGAGCGCGGGTGTGGTTTGGGGATCGCGGCGGAGCCCTGAAAAGTCCCGAGAAACCACCCATGCTGGGCGGGGGACGACGGGGACTCCGTCGCGATCACTTAAAGGAATCTACCGCTGTCCCCTCCATGCGTCCGTAAAGGAGCTGGAGTGGGATATGTGATTGTGGAATGGGGGCCATCTTCGTGGTGGCAATTTACGCCCCTCCAAGGTGGACCCGGGACGAGTACGAGCGGTTCTTGCTAACGTTAGAGGACTGCGTCTGAGCCTGCTCGTTCGGCCGGGTCATGGTCGCGGGAGATTTCAACGCGAAGTCAACGCTATGGGGTTTCCCGCGGACCAATTGGAGGGGTCGCCGCACCGAGCTATGGGCGGCGGGACTCGGACTGAGTCTGCTAAACTCGGGCCGAGAGAGAGTACGTGTGTGCGGCGGCAAGGGTCATCGGTGGACCTAACTTGGGCCACCCTTCCCCTGTCGCTCGCGTCATACACAATTGGAGGTTGGTCACGAACCAAGAAACTTTATCGGATTATTTGTATCTGGATATGACGGTCCGGGCCACCCCACCGAAAGTGCTCGCCCGCCGCCGCGACGCCAATAGGCGCAGGCAAAGATAAGCCCTCAAAAAACTGAACAACGACCTCTTTGAAACAGCGGTCATAGCACACACATGGTGCAAAGAAGATACAGGCGTCGTTCGGGGGGGAGAACATCGACGACGAGGTCAAAAAACTGATGAAAACCATGTCGCAAATCTGCGATATGACGATGCCTCGACTCCGTCCCCTCCCCCCGCGCAAAGGCACCTATTGGTGCAAAGAGATCCTGGCTGAAAGCCCGCGCTGGGAAGTGCGGTGCGGTCAGCGTAGAAGAGGCAGGAGAGGCCTGGCGTTCCGCCCGCGAGGATCTCTCCCGTGCCATACGCGCGGCCAAGAAACTTGCCTGGAAGGAGCTCCTCGACAGCGTAGAGAAGGATCCGTGGACGCCCTTACAAGCTGGTTCGGGACAAACTGAGACCCTGGGCGCCTCCAATTACGGAGACACTGGACCCCCCCTTCGTCGAAAAAGTAATCGACAAACTTTTCCTCAAAAAAGATGGGGGAGGGGTATTGTTCCCACCGGTTGCGGAACAAGAATGGAGGGAGGAATGGGGGGTCAGTGCAGAGGAGCTGTCGGGGGCTCTCCGCAGGGTCAGGAAGAGCAAGGCTCCTGGCCCTGACGGCATTCCGGGCAACGCGTGGATCTTGGCCGCGGGGGGACTGGCCGGCAGGATGCGCAGACTGTACACCGCGTGTCTGCGTGCCGGTCGGTTCCCCAAGAAATGGAAGGAGGCCAGCCTGGTGCTCCTGCCAAAGGCGGGCAGGCCTGCGGGCTTGCCGTCAGCCTACCGGCCCGTGTGCCTGCTGGACAAGGTGGGAAAAATTTTCGAGCAAATAATCGCCGAGCGCCTCGTCCGGCAACTGTCCCGGATGGGACACGAGGGTCTGTCGGACGACCAGTTCGGATTCCGCGCCGGGCGATCAACTATCGACGCAATTAAACGCGTACTTGCCCGGGTGGAGGAAGAAATTGCCGGGGGGAGGGTTGTCATGGGCACTTCCTTCGATGTAAGGAATGCTTTCAACTCTCTCCCCTGGCCGGTCATAGGGAAAGCCTTGTTGAGATTGAGATTCTCTCCTTACTTAATACTGGTCATCCTTGACTATTTCCGGGGCAGAGGCTTGGCGTACACGGATCGGGACGGGGTCCTGAGGGTCAGGTTAATAGAGTGTGGTGTCCCGCAGGGGTCCGTGCTAGGGCCCCTGCTGTGGATAATCGCATACGACCTGGTCCTCAGGACCATTCTCCCTGAATGATGCTGGCTCTCGGGATACGCAGATGACGTACACCTGGGAGTCAGCGGGGAGAACTGGCAGGAGCTATACAGGCTGGCCAATGTGGCAGCAGCTTGCGTAGTGCGCTCGATAGAGAGGCTGGGCCTGACGGTGGCCCCACAAAAGACCCAAATGACGCTCTTTTACAACCGCAGGGTGTGGGGACCGCCGACGAAATGGCTCAGCCTCTGAGTGAAAGGAATAGAGATCCCTCCCACTCCTCATCAAAAGTACTTGGGGATGTGGCTAAACAGCGGACGTAGTTTTGGCGAACACGTTGCCCGTGCGACCGAGAAGGCTGGACTAGTGGCGAACTGTCTGTCCAGAATACTGCCTAATCTAGGCGGGGCTGGCGGGCGCGTGCGTCGCCTCTATGTGGCAACGGTCCACTCGGTGCTGCTATACTCAGCACCGATATGGTGGCAAAAGGTTTGCAAGTCGGCCATCCTCAGAGGAAAAATGGAGGCCGTGCAGAGGATTATCGCTCTGAGGGCTTCCAGAGGTTATAGAACCGTTGCCTACATGGGGGCGACCACTCTGGCGGGGATCCCATCGGCACACCTCCTAGCGAGATATCACGCCGAAACATACGAAGGGGTGTGCCAAGCCAGGAAGAGATTGGGATTTGTCCCACCAAACATAAAGAGAGCCATCAAACAACAAGGGAGAGAGGCCCTTCTCCAACACTGGAAAGACTGGGTGGAGGACCCCCGGTACAGGTGAGGGAGAAGGGTTGTCACGGCTGCCCAGCCGGTATTTGAGAAATGGGTAGAGGGCGTGAAGCGGAGACGCCTCGCCTTCTATGCGGTGCAGGTGATAACGGGGCACTGGTGCTTCGGCCGATACCTGCACCATAGAGAAGGAGTGCACTACGTGCTGCCACCACTGCCCGGAGGAGGCGGACACGGCGCAGCACACGCTGGAACATTGTCCGGCGTGAGCTGGCGAGCGCCGTGTCCTCCCGGCTGCAATAGGAAGGACCTCTCCCTCCCGGCTGTCATAGAAAGGACGGCTGAGACAGGGGCAGAGGGACAAAGGAGATGAGAAGCGTTCGTCTCCTTCTGCGACAAAGTAATGTGGCGTAAGGAGGCGAACAAGAGGATTAGGAGGAGGGAAGCCTCCCCCCTCCGTCCTCAAGCAGCGACGAGGGTTAGACCAGGGAGACGCTTGTATCCCCAGTCTGGTGCAGCAGGGAAAGGGACAACAGGGCTCTCCTTGTAGAAGTCCCTGGCACCTCCAAATAAAAGGGGGTGTGTTCAAACGTTGGAGGGAAGGGGGTGGCACGGGGGTAGATGGTAGTCCGCCTTTCTGCCGTCCCTTCTTTATGCCGAGCAGGTCGGCGGAGGATGCGGGACGGGGAGGGGGCTCAGGCTGACTCCCCAAGGGGTTTCGGCCACGTGCGCCCCGCCCTGTCTCGCGATGGCAAGGAGCTGGGTTCCAGTGAGGGGGGAGTTCCGACGAGCCCTCTCTCTCCGGATCCTAGGCCCCCGCCTGCCCTGAAAGGAGGCCGAACCACTTCCTCCTCCTCTCTTTGCCCAGGGGGCAGGCGAGTAATCGGGGTGCGTCGCTCGCTCGCTGCTCTTCGGAGCAACTCCGGAATGGGGGGGGGGGGGGGGGCGGATGAGGGTAGTGGCACTCATCCGTCACGACTAGTCTATCAAACGCCCGGTGGGTTCCGGGTTCGAGGCCTCTGCCCTCCTTCGAGGGCGCGGTGGGGGGAGGATGTGTCCGCTCCTAGCGGCCGGTCGGACCGGTTGCCGGGGTGTCCCGGAAAGCGAGTTCCGTATGGCAAGTGCTGGAAGGGCCCCCGGCGCTCCCCGATGACTCGTCGCTGGTTCTTGTGGGCCGTCCCTTCCCCTACCGCCTGGAGGTAGTGGAGGGTGGTTCGGGTCTGCCACTCGTCACCGCTGATCCTAACGAAGGGCCTACGGGCGCCCCTAAAGGGGTCAGCAGCTCCCCCAAAGGAGGGTGGCGGATCAGGGTTAGTCCCCTCTGGTCCGCCAAAACCAGATTTGTTTTTAAGACGGGGACTTCGGTCCCCAGGAGGGAGCCCGATGACAAGAGCCAGCCTGGGGGGGGGGGGGGTCACGGATGTGATCATTGCGTTTCCCGGGCCCCCCCGCCGTTAGATAAAGCGCTTAGGAGGGACTGGTCGGGGTTGTAGCCAGTAGGCTGCGGGCGTCGCCGTCTATCGCCGAGGTTTAACCCGGTATGATACGCGCCCGTAGAATCCGACACAATCCCGCCCCGGACCCGACCGGGGCGGGTAGTCTTAAAAATTTCCCCCACCTAAAAAAAAAGGTAGAATTTTTCATAAATACAAAAATTCCGAAAGAGCAACTCGAGAAAGAAACTCTTATAATGTCTTATATGTTCACATAAGAAGCGGTCTTATATGCTCATATATGAGTGTTGGCCGCATTTGGCCGGATTTTTATATGGTCATATATGATTATATAAGATTATATAAGGACAAATAAAAAATATCTCTTATAATGTCTTATATGCTCATATAAGAAGCGATCTTATACGTTTATATATGAATTTTGCCCTGATAAGAGCTTATATGGTCATATATGATTATGTAAGATTATATAAAATTATATAAGATCATATAAGGACATATATATTTAAATAAGTTTATACTTTGAGATGCAATATTGTGATCTGATCATATACATTCTTATATGACTATATAAGTTTATATGTAATTATATGTTAATTATATTTTTGGTTTAAATTATAAGAAAGTGTTATTTTCAAATATTATTTTTTAAGTGGGGTTACTTTATTATTGAAAAGCTCGACTCTATGATACAAAAGTTGTGCCGTACGTTCCATATAGCGCACGCGAGATACTGTGCGCGGTAGTCCGGTACATGCCAGCTCTTGATTACCGTTCTTATATACCATTGTTCGTCAAATTTTAAATACGAGAAACAGATCCCATTAGATGCTGTCTATCGGATATTTTGAGAAGCAATAATATGATCTGATTATATATAGTCTTATATGACTATACAGGGTATCTCTAAAGTTTGACCCAGCCCCTTAGATTTCGGAAACGGCTTTAGATATAGAAAAATGTTTCAGATAAAAGTTGGAGGATATAAAGGGGGACGGATGATGAAAATATAAACTTGACCTTGAATGACTTTTTCAAGACCAGGAGGTCAATGTGATCAAAGTTTTTTAAAATGAAACCCTCCATTTTTTATTGCATATTCTTGTGGCCCATGTCGAGACGTTTTTAAAACTATAATAAAGCTTTCTTTCGTTAAGGATTTTGTCACGTTTTGACTGTTATTGTTTGTCTGTCTTTTGGTCAATGCATTTAAGCAATTTACCAGGGCTTTGGACAAGTCGTGTGAAGGATATTATTATTATTATTGTTATTCGGGACCAAAGGATCACTTTTGTTAGTCGACAGGAACAGGTTTAAATGGAGGTGCGTTTTCTAATTGTTGCAATCGTTGGAGGAAGGGGAGAAGATATTGATTAGAAATGACTGCTTGTTTAATCTGGAACCTAATCCTTTTGATTTGAGTTTGTCTGCCTGCCTTTTTCGTCATCTAACCCGGATCCTCGAAAATGAATTTTATAGCTCGCCACACTCTTCGTCAGCGCTCAAAAGCCAATCCGCCACACTCTGCTCGCCACACTCTTCGTCAGCGCTCAGATGGCAGCGTAAAAGCCAAATTCACTTTCGGGAATTAATAGTGATTCTAAGGATCAACCCCGTAATCACCACGCTTTTGGCAGCAAAGGTACCTGCTCGCCACACTCTTCGTCAGCGCTCAGGACCAATCGCCACGCATTATGTCAGCGACAACTGCGAGTGGAATCTTAGAAGTGATTGATTAAGAATTTAACACGAGATGAGATTCCAGATTTCGAGCTTATTCTTTTTCAAACTTATCTTACCTTTATTCTTAAAGTTTAATACAAGCAAGTTATGCGTGAGGCGCGGTCTTAAAATACGGGGACTAAGTCCCAAGATCGAGCGCGAATGCTCGGATTTAGAAGTACAGTCAAATGTAAGAACTGACTGTCTGGAAGTGAGAATTGAGTGAGATTTAGGAATGGCTGAGCAATTGAAATGCTAGAGCCGAAGAAGTATGTGGCTGAGCAATCGGAGTGCTAGAGCCGAAGGACTATGTGGCTGAGCAATTTAAATGCTAGAGCCGAAGGAATATGTGTAAGGAATCGAAGCTCGGAACTATCTGACTCTTCGCTGCGTTTTTCCGTCCTATTTGTACCCGAAAGAGACCGGAATCTCCCGCCCGAGGTATTCTAGAAGCTTCTAGAACATTCCAGAAGCGTAGTTTTGGGCCCCATCTGGCCCGCAGCCCTCCAAGGGTCGTCCGATAAGATAAGCATTTACAGGAAACTGAGCGTACCGTCGGAACTCCGAGGCTAGCGTACGTCGTCTAAGCGTTCGAATTTTCAACGTGTCGTCCGAAATTTAGTATAAAATTTCCGTACGTAACAATTTCCTTAAATATTTTAAATTTTGTTAGTGATACTATTAATAATATAAAATATAAAATATCTCGTAAAGTATTCACTTTTTGATAACTTTACCTTAATACTTTTGTACATAGATTAATAAAAAGAGTCAAATAATAATATAAATTTTTACATTTTGCAATATTGCAAAATTAAATACCTCTACAAAATATAAATTTTTTAAAATAACTTTTTTTACAAAAATCGATTTCTTTCATTATTCTGTGTATAAAAGTATCAAGATAAAGTAATCGAAAACTACTAGATATTTCATATTTTATATAAAAAGTATCATAACAAAATAAAATATCTCAGAAAATTCTTAATGAAAGAGAGCTTTATTATAGTGTTTCGAAAACGCTTTGACAAGGGCTACGAGTGTTCGAGAGCGCGCGGTAGCGCGAGATAACGCGAGGTAAAAGACGACCACAAGTAAAGAGACAAAATTGAACA